AAAGAAGAGAGCAGGAGATTCAGGATCAGAGGAAGGAAGAGGAGAGGTAGATTGGTGTTTTGACTTGTTTCATTTATCCTTTGTTATTGGAGTATAACTTTTAATGTATGTGGACATTATAATATAATCTGTTTTTCACACCAGTACTTGACTACTGGATGAGCTGGCGTAGCTCAGTCAGTATAGTGCCTGGATGACTGGGATTCAATCCCCTAGCCTCTGTATTCAGACTGGTTCTGGGGCCCACCCAGCCTCCTATCTAATGGGTACCAAGGTCCTTTCCTGGGGGTAAAGCACGACCAGGACGTGATGCTGCCCATTCACCCCCTTGTAGTGCCAAGCGCCTACATGGTGTATATTAGGACAGCTGTTACTTTTCTACCTGACTACTGGTTTGGAACATTTAATGGGATCTCACCTACGGTATGATGTCATAGTATGGACCTCATGCACAACACTACAGTGTGGCCCCATTATATTTCCTAATGTCAACTCCCTGAAGCCATCAAATAATATTATCTTGTTATTCTTCAAGCACTGTTTTCATTTTATACAGGTCAATGGCAAATCATATAGAACATTTCCTTTCAGGGTGAAAAAGTTAGAAGAAAAGCGTCAAAAAGCAGACAGACAGAAACGAAGAGAAGAGAAACGTAAACAGAGACAGCTCATGAAGTTAAAGGAAAAAGAGACACGGGAAATGACCATGAAAATTGCAGTTGAGGAAAGGAAACTCCTTATAGCACAAAGGAAATTAGAAAGTATTCGACTCCTTGATGAACTTTTTGAAAGAGTAAAGGTTTGTTGTCATATGTTAATGTATATTTTAATCCACAACTGGAATCCATATACATAATATAAAAATCATTGTCTTAAATACCTATGTCACAGATTTAATTATTCCATACAAAATGTTGATAATCCATAAGTGTCACTTGCATTTCACTGTTTCTGATTAATAAATTAAGAAGCATCGAATTATGGAAAATTATGTGATGTACTTAAGTGATTCTGATATTAAAAGCATATCATTCTCTTTGGTGTAGAGGAACATAATATGCTTTAATTAATCAGAACAACTCTGTAGGATTTGAGGTTTTCACGGTGGTGAGTCTGAAGATGGCTGTCTTCTGGGTTGTTGCACAGTGTAGTATGGTAGTCTACCAGACAACCCAGAAGACAGCCATCTTTAGAACAATCCTGCTTCTGACCAGATTGTAGAGATTTGCATCACTGCTGAAGAATGCTGGTCATCTTTTAACATAGGTTTCTTAATCTAAATGATTGTTATTTACCATTAAATCAATTTTATGTAGTTGCAATTTCAGTATCAAATATTAACAGTACTAAGCAGAAGCAGTAGTGAGATTTCAGTTTCTTTTTTCTTTGTTTACAGGTTAATAAACAAAGAGAACTTGTTAAGATAAAGGAAGAGGCATTAGGAAGCAAGTCAAAAGTGAGACGGAAGAAAGAAGAGAAGATGAAAAAAAAGAAGGTACTTTGTTGGTCTTCTCAGTCACAATGCTTCTGTCTTTGGCCCTTATATAACTTTATTACTTAAGCCCTGGAGATGGAGGTATGTTCCTCCAAAACAATTGTAATTACATGTAGCATTGCAATGCAGAAGATCAATTTTGACATTTACATTTCACTGAGGATCTCGAATTGAATTTGTTGTATGTATATGCAAGTTCATTGATATAGTTTACTATGTATGTTGGGCATTACCCTGAAGTTCTTGGCCTCCCTTACCCAGAGAGATGTGCTGAGGGATAGTATCTTTCACAAGCGTTTCAGACTCATACCCATACAAAGTAATTCGTATAATTCATAGTTTTGTACAATTTTACATTTATAATAAGGAAGCAGGCCCCACTTAATGGTACCTGCACCTTGTCGTGGTGGTGGGGCTTGAGTACCTCAGTGATCCCAAGAGCTATGCTGGCGGTAGCATAGCTACTGGTAGGGCCTCCCTAGCCAGATTGGTCGAGGGGGAGAGGTCAGACTAAGACAGGTACCCTCGTCCTCCAGGTTGGGGGTTGGTCGCAAGGCTAACAACCTTGCAACATAAAAAGGAAGATGTTTCTAAACCTCAACCTCGGACAGACGGACCTAACAGAAGGACCGAATGGAAGAGGAGAATTGCGGAGGCCACGGACCGAATACGGACCTGAGAGCCATAGAAGAAGAAGAATAAGGAAGGAGGAAGGCTTAGGTCAGGGTCCAGTGGTGGGCTTCTCCAAACAGGATAATGAATGTTTCTGTTTTGTAAAAGGCAGAAAATTTCTTGATAAGCTGAGTAATGTGGTCCATGAAGTATCATCACACTTAATGTTGCCATTGTCATCACTTAATATAGCACCACAGTTTCATAGGGTATGTGAATGTGGGTACCTTCACATACATTTTACTTTAAGTACTTTTAGAGTTCTAGATTTGATAATTCAGTATTGTTTTTGTGGGGTATATTCCAACTTTCAGGAAAAGGAGAAGAGTGGGAAAGATAAACTGCAAGACAAAGAGCGAGAGCTGCGCACAAAGTTGGTTAAGAAGTACAAGAGTGCACAGGAACAACAGTTAGAGGAGCAGAGAGAAAAACTGCTTCAAACTATTGAGGGCAAGAACAAACTGCGCAGTGTGTTGGCTTCAACCAGCAAGAAGCCAGACCGAGAAGGTCGCTCCTCGATGTCTAGTATCTCCCCTAGTGACAGTGGCAAGGAAAAGTCCTCCACTTCAGAGATTACTGATCTCGTTTCAACTTGTAGACAGAGAGAAAATAACTGGAAGGGTAAGTCTGATATTCTGGAATTCATCTCCCTTATTTAGGGAAATCTAACAGTGAGGATGTATCAGAATTTTTCTAACTTTACGTACCTTTGGTTTGTGCTGCTGTAATTATATTACTGGATTTTTCTTGCAGAGAAAGAAGATTTTGATGGAAAAAGTTACCATGCTGCCTCACAGTATGATAGACACTGGCACCAGAATAAACATTATTGTGAAGATTCACAGAGCTATGTTTATTCGTATGATGATAGAGGGGGTCCTCCTATGTATCCAGATTGCTTTAAGAACTACCGAAGGTTTCCTCCTCATAATTTTAGATTTCATCACAGGGGTGGGCTTTATCCTCGTAGACAAGGATTCTATGTTCCTCGGTGGAAAAAGTATTCTCGAGGTGGACGCGGCTCTTATCGCAATTTCCAAGCACGAGGCTTCCCTTCTGATTCTTCATGTTATTACAACAATGTCACAAGTGACTACTACCGATACTTCCAGAAGCTAGCTAAAGGAAGTAAAGAGGAAGAGTCGTCACACTCGCAGTCTCAGAATTCTCAGTCTGTTAACCGTTCACGCTCATCTCATTCAGAGAACAGATCGCTATCTAGGACGACATCGCGCTCAAAGTCTTGTTCCCGATCAAGATCTTCCTCTAGGTCTTGGTCACGTAAACGTTTCAGGTCACAGAAAAAGTCTCGGTCTAGAACTCGTTCATATTCTAGGACTCATTCAAAAACTAGGACAAGGTCACCATCACAGTCTGTGATGCATTCAAAGTGGAATCATGGTGTTGCAAAGAAAAGTGCAGTGGTTGAGTCAGTGAGTCAGTCAAAAGGTGAGAAAACAAGAAGACATTCTCATAGTAAGAAAAAGAAGAAAAAAGATCAATGAGATGATGTGTGCAGTGATGGCGAAACATAAAATACAGTAGAAAGTGTATGCAAGTTTAAATTAATTCTTGTATGCATAGCCTTAATGTGCACCAAGAATTTGGTGATGTGTGTATGTTTTGCCTCTTGGAAAGTAAAGTGTGATACTTTTATAAGAAATTTGTTACTCCATTTAGTACAAATATGCTGTTTATAGTTAGAGCATAATTTGTTATGGAAATGGAGAGAAGTTTTTATTTTTCAAATTCAGATAAATTTTCTGAAGGTCTGAAGACTAGGTTCTTCCAGTAGCAATATTATGGGGCATGACTTGTGTTGCATAGATTACACCTTCTCGAGATTAGTGTTTAAAAGTAAGGCGGTTGCTTGAAGTTAGAGACTACATTTATGGAATTTTGATACCATGTAATTTTGGGTTTGTAACAAAATTATCAAATTTAACTGCAGTACGTTTACAAACAGCTTGGTCAATACATGTGTACATGTACTCTGACCTACATGCAGCATTGTAAATCACTGATTACAGAAATGATAGCATAAATTTTCTATAAGTCTTTGGACATACAATATGTAAAGCATTGCTTTGGGACTATATGCCGTTAAGCCATACAAAATAGTTCAAAGTAAACTACATTTTACAAATAAATTATTCTCTTTTTATGAAGTGCTCTGTTTCTTACAGTCTATATTAAAAGAAATTTACTATGTACCATTAAATCGTCATGTAGAGTTCATTATCCCAACACCATACCACAGCACACAGTAAGTCAGGAAAATTATTGCTGTTCATACTAATACTCCCTGCATATTATATTTGGTTATGTTAAAATATTTCCAACTAACTTTCACCACTCGTATGTGAAGTGTACATACATACATACATACTACACTTCTGTCAATCCCTGGCAGAGGCCTTTCTTCTAACCTCCGTGTCCAGACTGGCTCTGGGGCCCACCAAGCCTCCTGTCCATTGGGTACCGGGTTCCTTTCCCAGGGTGTGCTGTGACCACTCACCCCCTTCTGGTGTGGATATTGAGAATGAGTAGGAGCAATACCTCTTCTCCTCTGGCATATAACAGGATGGGAAATAAATTAGCAATATGGATGCTGACTGAGAGTGATGCAAATTAGTTTTGGAAGTACAGTTTTTTATTTGATCAAGGTAAGGGGAAAACAGCAGATACGTAAGGTTTCAAAATAGCTGCTTTACATAATAGCTTCGTTACTGACAAAAATCAGCTGATAAAAATAAATCTTTGTGTGATCAAATCAATGAAAATTCAAGTTACTATAATTTTTTGTCCATAATGCTGCTGAGTTGACAGATGTAAATTAATCAATGATATTAATATTTGATTATGTTTTGGCTACCTTATAATTACATGAAGGTATAGGAATAAGAAAGTAAACTGCAGGAAAACTTTAAACATTAAAATAATTAAATGTGTTGCTTGTTAGCATCATTTCTGTTAATAAAACTGGGATTCCTAGAATTTAACGTGAGATAGAAGAAACTGTTGGACCTGAGACTACCAAATCAAGTTTCCATGTAGCATATTACGGTATGAACTTAACTGTCCCCACACCTGTGAAGTACAGATGGTCTGACAATTCTCTATCTTCATCTGCCTTCTGTAGTGCCAGTTTGAATTCTCTGCCCTTTTCTTGCATTTTCTTACAATCTTGTAATGGAGAGTATCCAATTTCAAACTAATTCAGAGCTAAGAATTCTTGAAGTGGACAATAGTTTTTGGGGCCAACTTTGCACCTTCTTTCTATATTATCAACACCGCCAACTTCGTTTCAGAACTAAGGCTTGTACTGATTAAAATCCGTGGCGTAACAGCTCCAGAGAGCCAAAGCCGACTAGCTGGCCTCACATTCACATGCCTAAGCAGAGGTGAACGATCATCCAACCAGATATAGGATGACGTGTGGTCAGCACGACGAACCCCCAGCCATTGCTAGCTTTTCTGACCGGATTACGCTACTCATTGTAGCTCCCCAATTTCCTCATGATGCTAGGTTGGCACCGGTCCCATACACTGGTCGAAAGCTCATGAGAAAATTTCTTCTCCCCCGAGACTCGAACCAGTGCGCATTCCGTATCGCCAGTCCGAAGCATGATGCCTCAGACCGCGCGGCTACGGCGTGGGACAAGGCTTGTACTGATACTTCCTTCAAATTTCTTGCATATCACTCATTACTTATATACTCTATGTGAAATCTTGAAATGATTATCCTTATTTTAATCTGTGTGTGTTTGCTTGAATTCTACTAAAGTCCCTACATAAGAATATCACAAATATTGCTTCCAGTAACACTTTCTGACAAAATCGAGATCAATACCTCACAGAAAATGGCACTTCAGTTGGTGAACCTCACTATTAACACTACAGTCAAGTTCCAACTATGAAAATGAAGTTTTTAAAAAACTAGCACATGAAACTATGACTTGGTTCTTATTTGAATTACATGCCCAAAATATAATTCACAACACTTAACGCTTATGTTGGTAGTTAAGAGCCATCACTATCACTTTCAGACAAATTGTATACAGCACTATTTGAGTCTTTACTCAGACTATCTGCAAGACTTCCTCCACTGTTCACCTTCCTGTAACACCGATGTTTATTGCAGCAACCACAGTTCTTCAGTAACTTACACACTATGAAGTATGACATTATCATGATGAGAACTATCACATTAGCAGAGAAAGCTATAAACATCCAATAAAACCATTTGTTTGTTTCCAGTGCTGGTAGAATGGCTTTTGGATAGCAATAACTTTCAGCTTTTGACATCTGCTTAAGAGATGCATCTCCATAGCATGAAACACACTGGTAGTCATTTGAGCCTGAACATGTCTTGCAGGTGTAGTGGCAGTATGAGCAGACAGGTTGAGACTTGGCATCGAGACTTGGGAAGTATCGCTCGGGACATGCTGCCTCGCATCGCCCATTGTGCAGAAACAGCCCCTTTACACACACTGCATAAGAAAACACATATATGAAAATCAGATATTAAAAGACGAGAGAGTCACAGAAACTTTCAAAACATAAAATTGTTATGTTTTCCACACTGTTTGATTTTCCCTTGAAATGCTGAGTATCACAGAATCATAACACCAGCAGTGATCCCTCCCAAGCAACAATTTTTGTTTCTAATATCTGCACCTCCATTGTTATAAATGTTGTTCATGGACTGAAAAATGTAAACCCAAAGACCTCAAGTGTATTTGACATTAAATCTGCAAATGTCAAAAGTGCAAATAAACATAAAATATATATTACTGCATAAACATGTCTGGGATTTTTTTCTAGGAAAGGGACAGCTCAATCAATAAATGAAATGACACACCTCATCATCAGTCACCCTTAATTTCAGTAAACCAATGAGTCGGCTCGGAGGGTCAGTAATCAACTACTGGTTCATCATAAAAATGTTCCAAGTCTGCAAGTTTAGAGGGGTCTTAAAAGCTCACAGATCTAATATAGACTACTTATTTTTTAATAGATGAGACAATCACGGGCTAATTTAAAATATTCACAATCAATGCCATAAAATTACACAAGTGAAAAACAGATCTTGAATTCTACCACAGTAGTACCCAGTGCGATTTTGATGGATACGTGTTACGCTCGGAACTATACAAAGCGAACTAGAAACATCTAAGCTACTAATGAAGCACATAACAAACTACATACTGTGACAACCTTGCATGAGGCTAACTTGAATTTATGTTACAAATGGAATTATAGGCATCGCTTTGGAGGCAAATATTTGAGTTAGACAAGTATTCAAGTCACAGACAACTAACAATTCCATGCATTAGGGTCCTTCTTAAGAAGCTGACACTCAGACTACAAAGAAATTTTCTGTCATTTATGAACAGGCTTTTATGAATTCTCTAAACATAAATTTAACTAAGTCAGGTGGCCAACACTGTAAATTTTCCTGTAATTTAATTCCAAGACATACTCCAGTAGTTCAGAATATGCTGCTGTTCAAAAAAATGTCATATGTCTGCAGTTTGAAGTACATTATATAACTGCAACAGTAACATGATACTAGAATAGGATACATACACTGTACAGAATAGTGCAAACAATTATTCACTCCTGAAATATGACAAACAAAATAGTTGTACTTAATTTGGAAAGTTCAACAAAAACTCACACTGACAACTGACAACAATTCTACTCAATCAACAAATCAAAGATGTGAGGATAGAAAATGCAAGGTTTTATGTTTAAGAGCACCCAGAGTTTGGAATGCAGGGAAGACGCAAGATGTGCAATGGTTAAATTAGTATAGGCAACCCTTGCTTAACACTCTTATATGGCTCCTAGAAAACCAGGTGTTTAGTGGAACAGAATTAAGCAAAACCACATCACCCATAAGAATTAATGCAGATAAATATTTGTTAATAAAGCTCCCTACAAACAATATATGAACACTTAATACAACTTCTAAATGAAAATGGTTCATTTAATGTTTTGAACTTTCAAATAATGTATATTACAAAATAAATTATGTAGTGAGATGCACATGTATCTGACTACATAATGCTGGAATGATCCAGCATCAGTTCTGGACATAATGATAAAGACAAATTGTACAGTGATACCTTTATCCCTATGCATCACGCCATGAGGATGTATACTGACAAGCAAGTGAAGTTTCATCCATTCTTTATCTTGTACTAGATGGAAATGAGTATGAGCCAGGATAGCTCAGTCAGTATAGTGACTAGCTACAGGCTGGATGACCGGGGTTCGATCCCCGACCGGGGCAGAGGATTTTTCCTCTATCCTCTGCGTCCAGACTGGCTCTGGGGCCCACCAAGCCTCCTCTACAATGGGTAGCGGGGTCCTTTCCCGGGGGTAAAGCCGGCCGGGGCGTGATCCTGACCGCTCACCCCCATCTAGTGCCAAGGTCAAGAAAGAGAGGTGCTATACCCCCTCTCACCCCAAGCGCCTGTATGGCACGTAGCGGGACAAACTTTTAGATGGAAATGAGTGGCGACAGCTTTCATGATTCAATACATAAATGACACGGCTGATCCCAGAGATGTTTTGGACTGGTGGCAAAGATAACAGTCCAAAGAATCCCACTTTGCTAAATGAGCTATTACAGCTGTGCACAGAACTGAAAAGATTCAGTTGTGCATGTGTGCACAGAGTTTAATGCTAAGTAAAGGTATGATTTCCAGTGCTGATATAACCAATGGCATTTAAAAACCAAGAGTGCTAACAAAGCTTGTCTATACTTATCAAATTAAATATAACACATAAGAAATAACTAAAAACACATAATATAATAAACAGTTTGTGCAACTCCAGAGCTAGCAATGTGTGTCTCTGAGTTGACATATTATCACTACAAATAGAAAAAAGGATTTGAGATTTCCAAGGTGGCAATGGCATGAGTTTCAGTTACATTCTTCTGGGCTGTTGTACTGTGTACTCTTGTGGTTGCATATGAATATTCTGAAGGAGGATGCTGCCTCCATCTTTTGGGTTAGAGTGTTGGTTTATGTAAGTGTAGGTAGAGGATTGTACTAGGGCCAATCTGAGCTGTAGGAGGGAGAAGGGAGATGGAGCCCAGTCAAGGCCAGTAGGAGTGAAGAGGACAGAGGCCTCTTCAAGACCCCCAAAGAGAGAGATCACATATGGAAAAAGCATGTGTCTTATCTTTAAACAGAATTTCCTTCCGTTCCTTTGGGTTATAAATAAGAGACTTCCACGACCTTCTCAGACAGTACCAGTCCTCACTGTTCATACTGTTAGATGCATCTTGAAGATAAAGGATGCATATTCATTCGAAATGCTGGTATACAACCACAAGACTAAAAGGCACAACAATGGGCAAGACAACAGAAATTTGTTGATATGTTTACTACATTTTAATTTTCTTACTTCACTGAAATAATCCACATTTTTCCCCCCAAGCAATACTGTTTTGCAAGATGAAAGATTATTCCCGAGAACATTAAGCATATTTTTCTGATGAAAACCCTTCATTATGTCTAAAAGACAAGATGTGGTTACAGCAAAAATTAATATTCACAAATTTCACAATGTTAGAAAGATTCAGAATTTCTCAAAATGTAATGTAACAATACACTAATTGTATACAAATGTTTCATGTGACTCAACAACTTATACAAAAGTATCATCACAATTTGCCAATTCCAGGGTAAAGAGGAATAAGTCCTAAAAGTTCAGGACACAAAAAACAGTTTTCATTAAGTTCTAACAAGTCATTCTGATTGATTTTTAAAGACATTTATAGCAGTATCATTATAAGTAATATGAAATATAGGCTGTAAAATAGTAATCACACTTGCAATTTTTGGACTTAGATCTTATCCTAGTGCCAGCAAATTGTTTCTTACTAGATCCCCATTAAGGGATGAATAAAGCATGAATGTTTCAAAACAAGTGAAAAATTTAAAATTTCAATTCTTAAATGGTTCCTAACACAAGCATTTTTTATCCATTTCCTCTCTTATGCACCTTCTACATGGTAGGCAAACTACTACATGCAGCCTAGATGAGGCCTGTGAAAATTTTTAGTCTGGCCTATGACATTTTTTGGAAACTATTAATAACAAGGCCTTTTATTAACTGTTTTTTCCTCACACCAGTACATATTATAGTAAGTGTACTGTAACTGCAAGAAAATGGAGCATTTGTGGAGACGTAAATTCTGAGGCCAAAGTACATTTACCTACAACACTTACAAGCACATGCAAAGTCAAGTGTGACTCATTACAAAACAGGTGTAATTCATGACAGCATCTATCACAGATGATATCATGCCTGTATTGATTACTAATAGTGCAATTTGTATGTATTTTCATAATCTATAAATTCAAGTAAACTGAAATGAATAATGAATAACTAACAGTTTTTGCCATCCCGAATTTCTTTCATGAGGCCCTCCGGCACGTAATCTCAAAGAAATAATCTGATCTGGCCCCTGAATAAGAATAATTGCTGAACCCTTTCAAAGAAAAAAATCAATATCAGTATAACATTGTATATCATAAATATTTGTGTAGGCGTATTTCCAGTGAATTTACCTCTTAAGATTTCTTTTTTTCACTGTGCAAGTAATGACAACCATGACATTTTAATATCAATGAAGAACTTTGGAAATAAAAGATAGTGACCAGCTACAGTATGGACAGCCAAGATTTGATCCCCAGCAAATTATATTGCACTCACTTGGCATAAAACACAAAATATTGGTATTTTTATAAATAATCAGACCCTTAAAAGTTAGAAAATTCCAATATTTCATGTTCAACTGATAGACAAGAAAACTAAATGCATGCCCTCATAAGCATACAAGCAAAACTAAATTTGATATAAATGGCACCAAATTACATAAACAATATATGAAGTGAGGGTTTCACATCAGAAATGAAATTCTACTTTACATAAGGTTATAATTGGTGTGACTTTAATACAAAGCATACAAATAAACTGAGGAATGATCTGTTTGTTTATTTATACAAACATTTTATACTTTACACATTCTATAATAACTTTTTTCAAGAAAGGTACTTGCTAGCCCAGTTTAAGTACATCCTTTCACCAGTTAAAGAGTTTTTCTTCTCATTGTTTTAATTAGATATAAATCTATAAGCCTACATACAGACTTCTACTTAATCAACTTGAATCATGCAGAGTAATGACATTAAGATAAGGACATGCAAGATAAACTTCAGGCGCACATGCTGTTGGGTGAAGGATCAAGATCAGACTCTGCTACATAAATGAAAATCAAATCTGCACATCAGCTACATGGAAATGAACGTGGACCAACTCACCATTCATCAGTTTTGAGTTGTCCCCCGAAGATTTTCCTTTGCAACCATCAACTTTCTCTTAGGCTCGGCTGAGACCAATCGAATGAATGTCTAGAAGCTTAAGAAGCCCGCCACCTGTTTGTATCTTGAAACAATCTGCTAAGTTTCAAATAAGTGCAAAACACACACAAAGCTGACAGTCACAAGTATCTAAACTATACACAGCTAAACTGCATGTGTGGATCATATTTTAAAACTAAACTGTCCATGAGAAATCACTTTTGTTTCTGATTCATACGTCTGGAAAAAAATCTGATATCATACCACTAGACTGTGGATGTCATATGCTGAAATATGGTTCTTATAATTTAAGAACTTAATTTAAAAATAAAAATACAGTTTGAACAGGTAAATACATTCAGAGTTGATCCAACAGTAAGAACATCTTCATTTATGCTTAAAAACCAACTGGGTTTTATATTTTACCTGTATGTACATAGTGAAGTTCATCACATTTTCATTTACAGCGTTACAAAGTTTCACTGCAAACAATTATATAATAATATATAAACAAAACAACTCTTTTAGCCTCTACCACCATGCTTTATGGCTTATGCATAGTCCAGCAGCCCAAGTGTCAAGGTAGCATATCATTCACCCTGAAGTTAAAGTCTAGCTGACAGTCTTGCAGTTCAAGAGGGTAAAAATCCCCTGCTTCTGTATGATACAGGTTACACACTGTAACTTGTGGGTGGCAATATAAAATAGAAAATGACTGCCAAATCATTACTACAGTAAAAATGTCCTGTATGTGTCATGACGCAACATATACAACCACAATGGAAAGTACTGTGTTTTGTTTCTTTATTAAAAAGGTTATGGAATATAATCTTAAGAATTTTGATATTCTCAGCACCAAAAAAGAAATTGACTATTCCCCATCTCGAAGTTCGAATTCTGATACTATGGGATAATTTCAATCATACAAAGTTTAAAATTAAAAAATCTTTTAGAAAAGCAATGCAGTGACATCAAGGAAGGAAACCAACAGCCTCAAACTTATTGCACTTGGAGAACTTTTAAAACTGATATAAATGTGCAAAGTTACCGAGAAGGATGTTCCCACTTGACTTATCACTCAGGTAGGATTGTGAGTGTGGGACAAATATAATTCTTTTAAAGTCTATAATCACTTTCACTCAAACACAGATTTGAATTTTCCTCAAGATCTGGAACTACTCTGGTACACACATTCAGTATAGCTGAGGGGAACTGTAAAGAAACAGCTATGCACATCATATGCAAAACATTAATTTGATTTATGAACTCACCATTTACACTTTAAACATTGTAATGATACTGAGTGCTATGCTATTAGAACTATATACCTGCATAAATATTATTGGCTATGGGCAGTTTGTTCAAATATTTTCTACAGTCAGTAGAGGCACAGTTTGAGTGAATGTGCTACTTAGGTGCATCCAAATTCACACCTTTGGCCCCATTAAAGGCAATATATTAAAATTACATAATAACATGATAACAGAACTCTATTACCACTATTACAAGAAAACTGGTATCATATTCAAAATTACTGAGAGTTTGCAGACTTGTCAAATTCGTCACTTTCAATGGGAAACAAAATTTTGCAAACAATGTCACTTTAGTTTTATTATGATTTACACAGATTTTAAATAGAACCAACATACATTTTTTACCATAGTTGGACACGTTCAGTTTTAAATATATGCACCACATTTTTTATTTCAACTTCCCTTTCAATAAGCTCTACACACAACTATTCTACACAAATGTTAAGACAAATGTTACAACAGTTGGAAGGTTAACACAATGGGCTAGCAAGCACCTACCTGAACAGTTGTTTTCTTCAAAATCACGGATCCACATTCAGCCAGAAGAAATAACTACAATGAGTAATTTTAAAGAGTAATGTAAATAGCATTTATACCATGAAGAAAGTCATAAATATGGAGTGAAACTTAGTAACAAACAAGACAAAATCATGCACCTGAAGTATGTGACATTCTTATACTCCAACAAGTTTTCCATTATGTAGGCAGTTTCATGAACAAATGTTTGTACAGCGACACAAATGTTCTTCAGCTTCAACTTCCTTTAGATATGACTAGCACACAGCACTGAAATTATAACTTTTAAAAATGTCCCTAAGAAATGAATACAGGTCAAACTGGAATTAAACAGAACAAAACTGTGTAGTTAAAATGGAAGTACACATTTTCCAAACACATTCCTTATAACCTTGCATACCAAACTGACCTTGACAGTCATTTATTTAATACAAATTTATTATTGTAAATACAAACCCACTGTTTCAAAGTTATCCATGCTACAGATATCACAAAGTATAAGAGTCAGAAACTTCACTAATTATTCAACACATGGGAAAACATTTCATGCAAAACTTGCAGCTGAAAAAGAGATTTAAATTGTATGTTCACAGCAACTTTGTCTGATGATATTAAACTGCCCCACAACTTTAGTATAGACATGAATAAGAAACTGCACAAAATCTATTCATTATCTCCACATTTATTTACTGCATTTTGTGCAATGAATTCATTCATGCAATTTTTATGTCTTCTATTATTACTTCTGCAGCACTTTTAACAAAAATGAATTTCACTCAACACAAAATACAATTCTACTAAATTAACCTTGATCAGTTGTGTGTCACGGTGTACACGCAGTCAGCTGGCTGTGTGTTGTGTACTTCTGCCAATATCATTACCCCAAACTTCAGGCACCCATGTAGGATGGGATTTAAATCACTTCCTTTTTATAAAGGTTAAAGATGTAAGAAAATATGGAAAATTACAGGGAAATAGATTACAAGCTTTCGGTAAATCAAAAGTGATGCACAATTTAGATACAAATGAATACCATAATGTTTGAATAAATGTCAGATATATCATACTAAATTACCAGTGACTCAGTAATGTAGAAGATATGACACATGGTACATAAAGCCATGCTGTATGTGTTCTCATCTGTCAGTAGAGTACAAACAAACAATGATATTAAAATGGTTATTCTGTGCCAGTATTTCACAAAAATATTACATAGAGCAGTGCTCCATTTCTAATACAATTATAGTCATCACATAGTCTGATATTATCTGTATATTTTCACTCTGTTATCTCAGATAACTGATTAATATCTCATGGCTTCTAAATAAATAAAAGTGCTCTTATTTATCAAACGAAAAAAACATTTTGAATGAGTCTCCACCAACTGTTCCAGCAAACGACTCACTAAAAGTTATATATTCTGACAGCATCAACTGCATACAAGCCTGGAAAAGCTCTCTACAATGACAGAATTCAGTTTCCTTATTTACGGTCACTTTTAGATACTTCATGTATGGAAACTCTGTGGATCCATTCACTAGCATTTCATTGCAATAATATAACTTTACTGCTAAAGCATCAGCAGATATTTACCAGACTCTAGGTTGAGAGAAATTTTCTGGTCAAAACAATGTCCATATTAAAGATTCACCACAATTATTAAAACAGCTCACAGATTTTATTATACTTTTGTTAACCTTAATATACAAATACTGCTTGATTTGTGTGTAGAATGGTAAAAGATATGTCTTCTCACAAATAACCACTGAGGAAAAAATAAAAACTTGGAAGGAGAATGATTCATATGCAGAGGAATACAATCAAACAGGATATACATTCACAATTAAAGGTTAACAGACCTGAGTCTGTTTGCAGTCCATTTAACAGCTCATCAGTCTTACAAGAATGAGACAGTGAATCAGCTAGCAATCGTAGTTCTCTCCAAAATCCTATCATGACATGACAAGCAATTTACACATTATATCCCAACAATACGCCCAGGTGATCACAATGAATCAAAAGATTTGAAACCAAACTTAGGTTTTCCTAACACAAAATAGGATTGCTTCAGTTACAATGGAGAAAAATGTTAAAATATTGGCATGTGTGCACTGTCTCAATATTCAAATATGATTTACAGCCAATTAACATTTATAATGTTCTTGACATGTAACATTCCTCAGTGTTTTGTGAAGCATGTACCACTCATGTTCACGAGTGAACTAGATTCAGAAAATCAATTAGGTTTGTATGTTTTAGGTTTTGATGAGAACTTCAGCAAACATGCATGACTGAGTCACAGACATGTACATAACATAAAAGGTTGATGTACATATTATTTTAACAGCTTCAAGTGATGTATTTTCTGATCTCTCGATTTTCAAGATTTGCTTTTAGAAATTAGTCTTTAGGAAAAAGACAGCCTTAATTTACCTGATTATTAAGATGGTGCAACATCAAATTTTATTCAAAACTATTAATTTAAAATATGCTTGCTTCAGAGTAAAATCAATCAAGGGTTTTGCTTTGTTCTAAAATCCGTTGAAAGGTAGATTATCTGGGAATCTACTGGCATGTATCAATTTTCTTTTTCATGATGCTGAAATATTAATCCTATGCAAATATTAACAATTATTACCGTAATGTTGTGGAAGAATTTTCTTTGGACACTATCCAATGTCTGCTCAAGGTGTGTGCACACACTTCAGAGAAGGTGAACTTGGTCTTATGTGTTGTGTGACCTTGGAGGTGGTTAACAGTATTTTGTATCTATGTAAGATTTGAGGTTTTCACAGTGGTGAGTATGAAGATTTCTGTCTTCTGGATTGTTGCGCTGTGTAGTCTGGTCGATGTTTACCAATGTTTCAGAGGTCATACTGCCTCCGTCATCAGAGTATGAAGATTTCTGTCTTCTGGATTGTTGCGCTGTGTAGTCTGGTCGATGTTTACCAATGTTTCAGAGGTCATACTGCCTCCGTCATCAGAGTATGAAGATTTCTGTCTTCTGGATTGTTGCGCTGTGTAGTCTGGTCGATGTTTACCAATGTTTCAGAGGTCATACTGCCTCCGTCATCAGAGTATGAAGATTTCTGTCTTCTGGATTGTTGCGCTGTGTAGTCTGGTCGATGTTTACCAATGTTTCAGAGGTCATACTGCCTCCGTCATCAGAGTATGAAGATTTCTGTCTTCTGGATTGTTGCGCTGTGTAGTCTGGTCGATGTTTACCAATGTTTCAGAGGTCATACTGCCTCCGTCATCAGAGTATGAAGATTTCTGTCTTCTGGATTGTTGCGCTGTGTAGTCTGGTCGATGTTTACCAATGTTTCAGAGGTCATACTGCCTCCGTCATCAGAGTATGAAGATTTCTGTCTTCTGGATTGTTGCGCTGTGTAGTCTGGTCGATGTTTACCAATGTTTCAGAGGTCATACTGCCTCCGTCATCAGAGTATGAAGATTTCTGTCTTCTGGATTGTTGCGCTGTGTAGTCTGGTCGATGTTTACCAATGTTTCAGAGGTCATACTGCCTCCGTCATCAGAGTATGAAGATTTCTGTCTTCTGGATTGTTGCGCTGTGTAGTCTGGTCGATGTTTACCAATGTTTCAGAGGTTATACTGCCTCCATCATTGCCCTGATGAGGGAGGCAGTATGACCTGAAACGTTGGTTAATATCGACCAGACTACACAGCGCAACAACCCAGAAGACAGAAATCTTCAGTGTTTTGTATCACATCCACCTTCACCCTTCTGAAAATTTTGTAAACACATACAAGACCACACAGTGACAACCCAGAAGAATATGATCAACTTCTTCACCATCATAAGAACCTCAAATCACACTGTTTCAGATATTGGCTCTATCTTCATGTATGAGCTATTATCACCAAGCCCACAGGTAAGGAGCAGCTCATCACATTAGGTACCCCCTTTCCTTAAACCTTAAGATAGAGACACTGCACCCAAAATGCTACCTAAACATATTTTAATCAAGGCAATGGACAATGACAAACGAAAATTCTCCCATATTGATAAACCACTGTCACAAACCTTCAGAATCAAGGTATTAAATTTATCCCAGGAACAAGCAGAATGCAAGATGGGAAAAAGAATGCACAGTCTGAACATGGGACAATGCATGTAGACCATCCTAAGAACTATGCTGCCAATGCATGACATACACAAATACAAGTCTCTCAAACTGTTACATCTTTCTAGACACATTTTATACTCTGATATAGTGGCCTGGGCTACATCGTCATAGGGAAAAATGAACATTTTGACAGATTATATTCAAAATTCAATTATGTATTATGAAAATTAATTGCAAGCTTTCTTCTAGTAGAAGAACCCAATATTGAAAAAAGCTAATGCCAAATAGTGATACTAGACATCATCCTGAGGCAATTTCATCCACTTTCCATTCTCACAACCCATCTATCTCAGATCCATCTTAATATTGTTCTCCAATCTCATTCTCAGTAACTGTTATCATATATTTGTAAAGAGGTATTTATATCATGTAAATTGTAAATAATCCATTTCTCCCTAGCAATAACAATTGCAAGAGAGAGACTCTATGGCCCACAAATAATATTTTCATTATCTTTAGTAAAATTACATAATATATCCCTAACACTTAAAAAAGGATTATAATTTTTTGCAGCTCTCTTCAAAATGTTGATGTTTTAATGTGTGGGTGACATAGAATGGTATTTTTCAATATCTAAGAGGTCTGCAGGGTAGAGATTCTTGGACAACATGTATCCCACAGGCCATGCTTTTCATAGGCCAATATTACAGTAATATTCCTGTACCTGTGGAATTTTGAGACAATATTTACATATTATTAATTACCTATGAAGGTTATAAATTAGAATGCAGGACATTTACTTGTTTCCAGAATATACGAAGCAACTGGAAGTGAGAACAAATTTTAAATTTCATTCAGCCAAATGCAAAAAACTTATTTAATACTCCCAAGACTTAAAACTAAGCCATAAATTTCACCTTCAGAAAATAAAGGTGAACAACAAGAGGTACAAATCTTGCCCCAATACAACACAACACAACAGTTAAAAGTTGATCAATGTGAACCAATATCTATATCTACATCACATTAAATCTATTAGGATCATACTTAACCCATGAAATATTTCAGGAACGTTGGCAAATCAACACAAATTATAACTCTACCCAGTCTGATATCTTTCCACCTAGTTACTACTGTTTAATCATTTCTCATTATTAATAACTCCCACACATTCACACACTCACAAATATACAATTCTCTCATCGATGTTACAATTGCAAAGAAAAGGGTTATTAATAATGTAGTCTTTTATGCTGCAAACAATTTCAGTTACTCATTCATTCACTCCAACAGCCACACATAATGATACTGGTAAAGCACAACCAAGAGTGTCCATCTAATGTTGTGATAAATATGCCATGATCTAACAGATTAACAGTAATACTGATTCTAAAATTGGTACATGTTGGCTGATACACTACAGTACAGTCTGTATGGTTGTTATTTAAGTGTTCATCAGTCTCAATTTCACTTTTTTTTTGGCAACACACTTGTATAATTGCACTTGAGATATATTATGTCATACACACATAATATACTATGATACTTCATGATGTAGTCATATCCAATCAATATTGACAGACACCAAACAAATTCAGTTTACACCATCAATGTTAAAAGTAACTATAAAACATTACAAAAACTAAGTTTATTTCTCATTAGTATGATATGGTAAAATATTGTTCCAATGATATCTTCACAATTACTATAATTTTCCACTGTGATAGGTAGTAAATGTGTGTTATCAGATTCCATAATTAAACACAATATCAATAACTGAGGTTGTGCCTTCCTGGCAGTTTGATTTTTGTTCACACCTTGAATCTAACACTAAAATAATTATTCTTCAAGTACAGAATAATTACTGGATATGGAGATCGTTTAGATCCTTTCCTTAAGTTTAGGTCTTGCTATGACAACATCAAAACTACTGTTATGCTGATAGACATCGAGGGTTATCATGTGTCTTCTCACTGTAGGCTGAACATACTGGCTAATGAATGGTAAGTGACCCCTTTTGACACCTTCAGCATGATATTACACAAAGTTCCTACAATATGATGACAGCACATTCCAAAGATGCAAGTTTCCTTTTCTTTAAAAAAATTGCTTCTCTAAGACAGTATTCCCAACAATTATTTGTGGTGACCTTGATTCTAAAATACTGCTGGTTTGTAAAAATGTAAACAATAATACAGACTTTAAACTTATTATTTTGAAATATTCATGAAAACAGAAAATGCTTCTTTGGTTTATTATGTGACTTCTTAACTTTCTCATTAATTTATATACAAATTTCCCAGCTTCTATCTAATTAGAAAAACATATTAATGATACAATTGTGTTTGCAAAAGAAAATGATGCTTGTTATGGAATACCCACAAGATCATTCTGAGAATGATGCCAACTTTTAGACATACCATATGCAAGGTACTGGTTCTTGCAAAACTTTTCCTGGTCCTGCTCCACAAGTCTGAGTGAAAGTATATCCAATCTGTTACACCACTCAATGCGTGAAGTAATTTTTGAACATGAAGAGTGAGAGTAATAATTACTACGAAGGTAGTAACTTTCAATACCCTACCAGTAATTCAGAGCACACCAGACTTCAGGCTTCCTGAAGTTAAAGGTACAATGAACTGTTGAGAATCCAATGTAAGGACAAGAAGAATGGTATACTAGCCCATTCTGTAATTCAAACTGGCAATGTTACTGTCATATTATGGTAAGAATACAAAAAAAATTTGAAGTAAGAATAAAAGCAGCTTCTCTTTCTCAAAGATGTATGTTTTTTTTGTAATATTTCTGTTTCATACTGTATGAATAACATTTATGTTAAACCATGGAATTTGTTAAGAACTGAAAATCAGAGTTCAATGTAAAACAGTTAACAAATTATGAATGCAATATTAGCCCTAAGAGGTGAAAACTGGCGACTTCTTAACAGTTACGTATGAACTGAAACTTCTCCTATAGATGTTTTTTTAGTTGGACATTTTGAGCTGTATTTTTAGAAGTTTGTATCTTCCACCAGGAATTTATACTGCTGTTACTACAATTCAGCGCACAAATTCTTTTGAACTCCATCAGGATGTGTGGACACACATACTGTCCAAATTTCCTGAAACTGGAGAGCTCCCATTCTTGCAGTAACAAGTAACAGTTGTAATAAATTAAATTAGACATGCAGTTGTTTGACAATTAGTATCAAGTGGTTCTTAACCTTCTTAGTGTGACTTAAAATTTCCTTCTGATATGTCTGGATATGACTGCACCATAACTAGATGGACGTACAGCAATTAGAATATCAACCAATAATAATGTCTTTCAAAGGGATTTCTTTTGTAATCCACATACTGCCATTAGGAATGCTGTTTGCTCTCTGTGCAAATAATTGGCACTAGTCATGAACACACATGTACACAATTTAGCTGATAAAAGTCCAGGTGGAATAATGGGTCAGGAATCTTACAGAAATTACTTGATTTGAAAATCTGAGTTTATGAAAGGATCATAAGGCATTCATAAGAATAATGGATTACAATTGCTGACAAAAAGATACACGAAATTAAGACACTGCTTCAACACTGTCCATTAATATCAACAAAAAGCTCACCACTTTTTGTCTTGAGCAAGTAGTAAAACCCAGTTACATATATATTCAGGATAATTCATTCTTTCAATTGAAAGCACCTGACATTACTGCTAAATGTCAGTTTAAGTCTGTGTTTTCTATAAATCGCAATAAAATAAAACATGGCAGTGCTGGAGTAATTAAAGTCACCGTATAGAGGGCAACAGCGGCAAAGCATAATTAACTCTAGTCAATAGCACTGTATACAGTATTGCACCAATTTGCACTCTAGAGTGCATTAATACCAACAACATCTGTTTCTATAGATTTGGCATCATATTTAACCCTGCCTAATACCTGTCCATCATACAGACAAGAATGACTACATATTTTTACATATCTCTGACATTACAGAACTCTGTAAAGGAATGGGTACTGTACCATGATAATATAATCATAATTAGTTAACAATCAATCCCACTTCAGTTCTTCTTACAACCACATTCTCTTGGAGCACTGGCACTGTGCTATGCCATACAATCAGTACAAATTGTGTATGTTAAGCAGCACTATGTTTTCAATATATATTTATTTGTAATTGGTCACTAAGTGAAGAAAAAATTACCTGCTTGATGAGTCAGCGTAGTCTTGTTTCAAAATTTGAAATATCAGAATGTAAATTGACCGTCCGTTCTGTCCGGATTCCATTGTGAAAATCAGTTCTCCATTCTTGAGAAATTATTAGGCATGGAACCATATTACCAGCGTCTAACATTTCAGTACACTTCGGCTGCGGCATGTTTCCATCACAATATGTAGTAAAGAGTGAAACGAAGGAAAAGGAAGAATCAAAGGATGAAAGTATGAATATAATAAGAAGGCACAAACCTATACATTGCTGACTCTTCTTGGAGAGGGCAAGACATCCTGTAGATGCTGAGGCTGTGTCATCTTCGGTGGTAGTGCGCTGTACTTCATTGCGAGTGTGATCCACCTGATGAACCTCCTTCCACACACCCCCTTTAACAGGTTCCACGTTGTTGTGCTCTGGATCCTCCTCATCACGGCTGAGGACCTCACTTGGCTTCAAGTCTACTTTACTGCCACTAATTTCAGTATTGATGTCATCATCTTCATGCTCATCGCCTTCAGGGGCTATTTCTGTACCATAGAAAACCAGCTTCCAATCTGCCATTGTTCCTGCAGAAACAAACCCACAGCACCATCAAAAACATGTTGTTACTATCCAAAGAGTCAGAGGCTTGGAAACATAACCTCAATGCAAGTCAGTGTAAACTGCAGGTCCATCAAATAATGTATTCAATCGATCAACAATGAGTATGCACTGAACTTATCTGCATGCAGAAGACAGTCATCTTCATACTGGCCACCACAAGGATCTGCAATCTCACTTCTCTGCATGCATTCATAACATTCAAATTCATCATTCCAGTAATTTTTGACCTAAAATTTACAGTCAACTGTTTCTTTACTAACAAGTACAGCAAACCTCTGAATGTTGACGAGGTACAGTGCAATACATGTGCTATGTACTCTAAAAATGTGAGGCCTACTTAATTTGACAGTACAGACATATGATTAAACATACTTTGGTCAAAAATAATGCTACAGATATTTATGTGAATAAACACAACAGTAAGAGGTTATGAATCTACTTAATTGCACTGCTTATTAATTTACAACAGAATTCAGGTTATACTCCTTTGTGCATCTGAATGGTTATATGGTAAGTCTTCTCAGGTGATTGCCATGTTGACACATAACATACACTGTCTCTGTCATCAGAAACACTAAGTTGAGCCACCTGTGGATGGGTGACCATCTGACTCTGTCCAATGCTCTCAATTTGACTTTGAAATATGCAGTTCTAATATCTCTAACCCTACAGTTAGTTGAAAATATTCACTTTTAGGTTATGACCAAGAATGACTGGTCTCCACTACATCTGCATGTATATAATTTCAGACCAATAATTCAAACACTGTATGTTGTATACACACTAATTCCTTAATGTGGCATAGCAGAAATGTAAAGTATATTAAAACCTCTGAACTAAAATCCAAAGGCTGGCATGAGCAAGTACTAGCCAGTGGCCATGACGAGAAAACTAGACTTGGCCAAAGTCAACATAAATCTTGTTCACGCCTGTCAAACTTAAAAACAGTGACCTATTAACAAATGTTTTTCTTAAATACTGTACTACAGTATGCTACATTTAGTGTGTGCAAACTTCATATTTTCCAAAATATCTGAAATGAATTTATGTGTAACAATCTGTGCTCCTTTCAAACTTGTATTGCTATGTATTTTTACATCTCCACATGCCATAAATGTTTTTCACAGGATGAATGTGATTTTTAAATTTATGGTTTTCTTCTCTGCCTACAGTATTTAATATACATGATTCACTACATACACAAAAAATGTGTATGAAAATTGGTAATAACTATCAAAAGCATTCACTGTTGAAATCGTATAATTTAGAGCTCTCAAGGAAACGTCAAGTTTTCCAACAAATAATCCTTCAATATATTTACATGCAAATAAAGTCAGTATTTAACTAGCATGTACTCTGACTACAACATACACACTCATTACAAACAAATCTACTCCCAGACAATTTTATTCCAGTATTACTCTTAATTAGCCTGCCTTGTCCTGTACACACTGTGATCTCCCAGAAGTATCTCAGGACTCTCCTGGAAGCAAGCCAGTATTGAGAAATACAGGAAAAAGCATAAATAAGAATAAATGTATGCTTACACATACATCTGTATCAATCACGCTACAACAAACTACTAACATGTAAATACGCAGATGTCCCAATGAGATGTATGCACATATTGAATGAATGAAATGAAGTCATTTTAATACACTAAACCATTACATATGTCAGCACTTTCACATAGCGCATTGCAGAATCTAGCGAAGGTGTTCACAATGAACACTATTAGCTTCATGGTACAGATGACAGTCATAAGCAATGTACTGATAAATTACCACCAAAGTTGCTGCAAAACAGCTGTGTATACATCTTTTTGAAACATTCTGTATACATATATATGTATAGTGTATATAAATGAAAACTGAGAAGTTAAAATGTAAGCAATGGAAATAATACTGCTTAAAATAAATTTCAGGCATTATTCTACAAAATATTGCACTGTCCTTTCATTTACATATTACTCTGTATAGACATTTGTGTAATTATATGCTTACCATTATTCAACACATATTTGACTTGGTTTTTCTCATGTACTTCATCTGTCTCTCCTTACCAAACTGGACTGATAACACAGCCTAATAACAAGATAAAATGGTGGATTGTTCTGTAAGACTAATAATGCATGAAGCCAGTTTTTTGTTTGGTAGACCTGTAGGCGTACAGCGTAACATAAAAATTATTAATAAAATGCTAGAATTTATACACCTGATATTTTAGGTTTAATAAGTACACTGCAATATTTAGTTTTCAACAGTTTCTTGTTTGTGAAGAAAGTCTGACAAATTCGTGAATTCTGTTTATACACTCATTAATCAAGTTCACATAAAATTTGTGTTAAACATTGACCTAATCTTCTATTAAATTCAAAGCAGTTCTTATACCACATTCTTCACTGATACAGTTATAAGGTTAACTATACACAGTCAGAACCAAACCTAAATAATGTATAAAATCTTGGTCTAAACAAATATTTTCTCTACTGTTCAATTTTTGTACACGCAGATTATGTCAAGCCCACTATCAGAGTAGGAGAGTGTGGGTCAATCAAGGAACTATAAGCAAGTCAAACTCATTGCATCACCCTTCACATTAACCGTACTTTCTTCAGGCAGGCATAATACAGCTACAAATACACCTCATATTCCATCCTGTAATACCCAGTAGTTAAAACTTAAAAATCAGACAGTACTTAGAGTGATCTTTCAAAGAAAATAATTAAATGCATAAGAGAAACTTATAACTGATAAATTACTAACATAAACCTGTTCAGAATGTGCTGATTTAGCACTAAATCAGTCATGCACTGCATCGTCAACAGAGATACACACATACACGCTACTAGTCAAGCAGCTTGGAGGGTAGACAAGCAAAGCAAGCAAAGTGATAACAAGCAATGTACACAGACAGCATGTGAGTGTCAGTATGTAGAAGTAAGTGTCTAGAAACCCTTGCCTTCACCCTGGTGGAGCCGGGAGTTCTCCTGAATGAGTTCCAAATTAGGCACCAAGTTAGCAGGAGGATGATGAAACGAGGATAGATCTATCCTGCCCTTGTTAGTAAGAGAATATAAAGGATATACTTTTTGGATTTTAGGATATTGTTTGAATATATCTGGTACTTTAGGTGGGGGGTTAGAATGTGGTTCTAATAATATTGTTAGGTCACTATGTAAAGTTGTGGTAGTAGAGGTAGTTTTAGATATGACCGTGGTGGTTAATGTTGTGGGTGAAATGGTAGAACTAACTGGTAGTGTGGTTGGTGCTGATGAAAGCTGACTTGGGAGGGAGATGTTGGTATACAGAGTAGGTGGGACAGTCGTGGTAGTGACTGTTTTTGTTGTTATTGTAGATGTAGAATTGGAACTTAGTCTCTTGGGAACAGCAGCAGGAGCTGCAGCTGTTGTGCTTTTTAACCTAGGTTTATGAATGGCTGGAGGAGTTGGCTGCAGCACCTTTAAGAAAGATGTATGGCCAGGAGTGGTTGTTGTAATAAGTGTTCTTGGGGGTGTCAACTTTCCTGTCTTGGTATTGTTTCTCTGAGAATTCTTATATTTTTTCAGGGAAGGCATAACATAGGGCGGGGAAACGAGCACCAGCGGACGGGAAGGTTTAGATGGTGAGGAAGAACCAGTGTTGGTAACACGCAGAGACGGGATAGGTGAACCGTGACCTCCATGGCCATCAGGTGTGACTGCAGTACCGTAAAATATAAGAGCCCATTCCTGCAGAGTGGCACGTCCTAGTGGTGAAAAAGAAGCGACCAAGGATTAATCAGCCACAACCAGGGTGACATTACATCGCTGTAATCATTATTTAAATTATGCTAAATTAGTATTTACATACAATACTTACTGTTAACATCACTGGATCATTAAAAAAACACATGTACCCTAACATATTGAGCAAGATATTTTCTGATCACCACTCCCCTACAAAACAGAACATGATGCTTTACTGCATCGGCATGTGATAATTCTGGTGTCTATGGCCCTTGGCAGCATAAAGTTGCATTGTAACTGGGTTACGAAGCATTTAGAATTCATTCTGCAGCAGAAAATCTGACCACAAAGTAGCCGGTTGCTAGCCCAAGCCCTGATATGAATACAAATTTTCACACCACCCAAATTCACAACAATATATAGTTCTTCACTAATTTTTTTCACCTAAAGTAACAGAATAAAAATTAGGTTGTCTATTTAATTTATTTAAGTCAAAAGGTTTTTGTCCGTTTTCAGGTAATATTTATAATGTAAGGTCTTCAGACACACAAGCAAACACAGAAGCAACATGGTTTTTAATCTCTGAAGATGATACTGTAACATCGCTGACATGACAAAGCTCATTGTACCCTTTTTTTAATCTGGTGAACTTTTAACACCATTCCAGTACCAACAGATCTTTATTTCTCTGCTCATCTTTATCACCATGAACATAGACTCCACAGTTCAGGGATGACTGAAGCAAGGATTCAACTAGCAACACTGATGATGAAATAGAAGAACTTAGTTTTACTGAAATTAAGTCCAGAATTTCAAAATTTCTATACAATACTGATGCAAAAAAATATCATACCACTTGTTTAATGGTATCACTGTTTGTAAAATGAAACATTTTGCCACCTAACAACATTACTGAGAACTTTTAGGTTTCTGGGAGCACAGGAAAACATAACCACAAACATCATACTGGCTTTTATATGACATAAATACTTGTATAAAAGTAAATTATTTACCCAAATCTTTTGCAATTTTGGTGCATATTTGAAACAACTCTATACACCATGCCCTTACCACAGAAATGTTGACCTTTGCTTGCAATGAACTGTAACATTATGTGCAAACTTGTTACCTTTATTACAAGTTATCAGAAATGTTGTATTAAAATCAAATGTTTCACTGTCCTTCAGTCTTTAATAATTCATATTTAGAGTGTGACATTAAAACACAATTAACACACTACTGTATATTTGTCTTTTTTTTTTTTATGGAAGCATAAAATGTAATCTGGAACACAGCAAATATAAATTTAATTCACACATAATCTGTAAAGAAATTGTGATTTCTAATAAATGAAGGTAATGAGAATGACAGACAGCAAGTAGCAGTGCAGGGATGAATTATGTAAATGTTGTAAATATGGATGCTGCCATCTTGCTGTTACTATGAACATTTGGTACACACATTACATAAAACACTTATGCCAAATTGTCATCATACCCAGAAAACGGCCCTCATTATGTATTTCTAGCTGCCATATGCCAAAGGGCTTCTCTCCCCAGGTATGGACAGACATAAATGGCCAGGCCTGGAAACCGGCGCGCGAGACATCATGAGGACGACGGGCTAACAGAGTGGCTCGGGTTCCAGCTGGAGAGGTTAGATGGATCTGAAGGTCGCCTCTTCTGGTTGATGCAAGGCTTACTTTAGCCTAATAAAGACAAAACCAACTTTTTTAACCTTTATGGAAGTTTATGTATTGTCATGGAAGTAATAAAATGTCTGCTATATTAGAAGGTCAGATACTGAAGATGATCTACAATACTCAGTTTATAATGAAAAATAACTGCATAAAAACTGAAATTTTACAGTATTGCATTTAGGACAAAACAACCAGTCAGCAGTTAGCAACAAAATACTGAAACAAGTTAAAATGTTGTTTAATGGCGTCTAAACTATTCTCAATTCAAAGCTTTTAAATATTCATTCCATCAATATTATCGTATTACAGAACATTCTGAAACATAATGACAATTCAGAAATAATTAATCTCCTGCCATGCCAGCCAATTTACTGTGCCAAGACGGTACTTTAATTAGGTAGCAATTATTTCCTTCCATGTATTTTCCAATTTATCATTCATTAATCACTCTATCATTCATAGCCTGAGCTACTGAAAGTGTCATTAAACAAACCACAAATAAATAAGACATAGATAAGTTTGTAGAACTTCTGTCTATAACAAATGTGATCCTCAAGTACAAATTCTTAAAATATGCAATGTTTGGAAACTAAAAGTTACAGCTCTGTATAGTTTACCTGAACATGTTCAAGGAAGTTAACACCAGCACACTCCCTTACATGAAGCTGGAGACTCACATGACTCTTTGGTGGTATAAGTCTGAAACCATTACATAGAAAGTTATTAACAATCATTACCAAAAGCAAACACCATTAATTGTTCATAAGCGCAGCTAAACCTAAAACAGGAGTACTACCGGCAGAAGAAATTCTGCTATTCAGATAAATTACCCAGTGCTTACAGTTACATAAAGTAACTTCTTTTCAACGACAGGGAATGAAACATGGATCATCTGGTGCTTATCCAAGACAATTTCTCACCAATGAAATTAACTCTCTATACAGAATATGTATCGTGCTCTTTATTTCTTTTACTGGGATAAATCAATTGAAACTTACTTCTCTGTGTGTGGTGCAGAAACTTCACATTTGTGCTGCTCTGGTACAGTCTTCCAGTTGCGAGCCAGCTTCACCATTTCATAAGCGTCCATCAGCCCATAACCAAAAGAATGGCTCACTGAAACACATCATCATAACAACAGCAGCAGCCACAACAATAGTAATACCTTTTACTCCGCTGTAGTTTCAGGATTGGCAGCCATGAAATACATTTCCCCAGTAAGATGCAAAGCTGAAAGACACATCACTTAAAACCTCTCTTATTGGTAATCACACTGAAAAACACAGAAAACCACAAATACTTCCTACAGATATCAGTCCAGTGCAGAAGTGCAAAAGATGTTCTGTCAAATGCTTTTGACGGCATTTGAGGCCTCTTGTATGGTATGAGAAAGTAAGAGTATCTGTGAAGTAAATTCTGATATTCCCAATGGCAGGCTGAAGGTAAACAAAATAAATGTTGGAACGATGACGAAAATGTGGCTCGAATCCTGGTGAAAGCTTCATATTCCTTGACTCAACAAAGGAGTGTGGGAAGAGATATAAACTGTATTTGGGTAGTCCTGATCCTGAGAGCTTTGTTATCGAAGCCCTCACCTCATGATCATCTCTATGTAAATCATTACAGCTTTGTAACAGAGGCATTAACTGCACCTAAAAATATTCTCCTTTAACTACTTTGAATGAAGTACTGTAGAGACTAATGAAACATAACGACTCACCATTTCTCCCAACACCATTCACCTTCCAGTCGGAAGACTTCAGGCTGGCAGGCCGTGCAGTGCGAACTACGATGTGCTGCATGTCTCGCCATGTCAGTTCTCTGTTTGATTCGAGTGCCAGGGCACAGATGCCAGCCGCCAATGGTGCCGAGGCTGATGTTCCAGTGTGACTACTTGTGCACTGGTGGTGTAAATCTGTAGTCACAACCTGTACGTGTGCAAAGTCAGCTGGTATGAGATGGTATGTGCATATAGCTCTCCATAAATAATTTCACTGTCACAGTTAGAAGTTGGAGGACTTGCTTTATTGGTTAGCTGTTGCTGCTTCAAGAATCCAATACTATTAACATAATATTCATCATAACCAATTGGCCTACCCTCCTTTTACATGTGTAAACATTAATATTTTAGCACCCCTAGTAACCAGGGCGTGCAACTAAAACATGCTGTGTGATAAACTTTAAGTATGAAGATTTCTGTCTTCTGGTTGATGTTAACCAACGTTTCAGAGGTCATACTGCCTCCGTCATCAGGGCGATGATGGAGGCAGTATGACCTCTGAGACATTGGTTACATCGACCAGATTACACGGTGCAACAACCCAGAAGACAGAAATCTTCTTACTCACCGCCCTGATGATGGAGGCAGTATGACCTCTGAAACGTTGGTTAACATCGACCAGACTACACAGCGCAACAACTCAGAAGACAGAATTCTTCATACTCATCGCCCTGATGACGGAGGCAGTATGACCTCTGAGACATTGGTTACATCGACCAGATTACACGGTGCAACAACCCAGAAGACAGAAATCTTCTTACTCACCGCCCTGATGATGGAGGCAGTATGACCTCTGAAACGTTGGTTAACATCGACCAGACTACACAGCGCAACAACTCAGAAGACAGAATTCTTCATACTCATCGCCCTGATGACGGAGGCAGTATGACCTCTGAGACATTGGTTACATCGACCAGATTACACGGCGCAACAACCCAGAAGACAGAAATCTTCAAAATTACTTATCTTTGAGGATCTTTATCTGTGATGTCATAAACCATGAAAAAATGGACTGTACTGTATGTGTGATTGTCTCATGAGACTAAATACCTGTTTCTCTCCAGAAGCCCCGCTGCTGTACGTAGTAGCAAGAGTTGAGCTGCATGCCTCTGAGTACCAAGGAACATACCCATTTTCTGTTGCGCTACTGATGGACAGCGTCCAGATGGAATTTGTGTAGCCATCACAGTTGCAATTATCATAATCGCGACCTCCATTACCAGATGCCCAAACAAAAATAGAACCTTTCCCAGATCGGCCCTGTAACAATCAGTGCCGAACATTAAAATAAAATGATGACCAGAAAAATTCAGTGGGGAGGTTAATGAATCCATATTGACTTCTTATTGAGCTCACAATCATCACAATTTTTATGTTTTTAAATTGTAACACTGCTTGGATATGGATATACTCTCTCAAACCAAAACTGGTCATGCAGCATCTGAAGAATGGACAACAATCATTTCACTGCATTTACTCAATTATTTATGTATTTGTTTGTGTGTCTGTCTGTCCATCTGTTCATTTGTTTATTCAGATAGTCCACCCTGTTCTGAGAAAGTTCAAATCCATTGTCCGTAACATCTACTTTAATGTCATCCTTCCATTAACATCTTGCTTTCCAAACTGGTCTCTCCCTCACTGTATGCATTTCTGTACAACAGCGGTCCCCAACCGTTTTGTGCCTACGGGCACATTTGAGAGTTTATGAGATCGTGGCGGGCACCAACCAATTAACAAAGCCAAAGTTTCTTTTCTCTGGACAAATAAGATATGGACACCAAATAATACACAAAACAACACGACGTTTAATGATACAAGAAACCGCGCAATCAAAAATACGTAGTTTTATAAGTACAATTATTATTACTCAAGTGGGAAGTTAGTGTGAAGTTTGGCACTGCATTTCATCGGCCAGTTTTTCAAATTTGGGGGTGTAGGATGATGTTGATGGTCGCAAAGAATAGTCAAGACGGGCGTCAGTAAGTAGAGATCTGCGCTTTGATTTTATAATGTTTGTGGTTGAACAGCCTTCATTATTCAGTACAACCTCTTTCCGTAACAACACAGGCACCCAAAAATAGCCTTGGCGGGCACCATGGCACCCTCGGTCACCGTGTTCGGGACCACTGCTGTACAATATTAGCAGTAAAAGTACTGATCATGAAACTCGGTTTCTCGAGTCCACTGCTGAGGTAAAAAGTTTAACATCTACACCAAACTATTGGCAGAATTATTGTTTATATTCTGTATTAATCAAACTACAAGACATGAACTTTTTCATAATTTTGCAACTGAAAAATAAGGGGTTATCTTCAAATCACAAAAAAAAGTGCACAAATTCATTGTGACAAATGTTTACATCATCTCTCAGTAGCTACAAAGTACCAAATATTTTCAGTGTCAATAGCACTTCTACCCATAACACGAGCACGCTGAAGTTGATGTATATGTAATTTCAGAACTGTATTAAATAATAACTGTTACAAAAATACTTCTCAATATTAAAACTGATACAAACTGCATTTCCAGGAATTTAAGTTCTAAGATGAGGAATCACCTAACATTTAAATACAATATTTTACCTTGCAGTTTCTCAGAGAGAGAAAAGAATTGAAACTAGAGATAAAAACATAATTATTAATTCTTGTTCATGGCCACGCACATCACCAAAGCATCAACATGGTACAGCGGCCACGAGTGGACGATCATACCCAAACAAAATAAACAAATTTACAGATGAACAAGCTGAATGATAAATGTTAACTGACATTAGACTTAGTTTCTAACCTTTGTGACACCCTCAATGAAAGCCCTTGTGGCCAGTTCCCCTGGGCCATCCACGGTCTTTCCGTCATCATCCGGTCCCCAGGAGGCGCTGTAAATATCAATATGCTGTGGATTGAGACTCAGGGACCGGGCCTCCACAGCGTCTGTCACATCTCCATCCAGCATCCTTACACCTGGAGTGACAGTGGTTCTTACATCGTGCAGGAAATTGTACATTACAGATCAATAGTGAAGTTGGTGGTGAACCATTAGACTACACGGATCATGAAGATCATAAAAAGTCTATCACATTTGTGTGGTCAGTTGTTCAAATCTCACTCAGGGCATTAACTATAATACGAGGGTCGCTCATTAAGTAATGCCCCACATTTTTTTTCTCAGCCAATAATGAAGATAGAAAAGTGTACTTTTACATGCTTGAGATTTGATGTGTCCCGCGTTCGTGTACGGAGTTTCAAATGATTCCAACCGATAGCGGAGCTGTAGTGAACTGTTAAAATGGCGTCTGTGAACGACTCTCGTTACAAGCAACGAGCTGTAATTGAATTCCTTGTTGCTGAAAAAGAAACGGTGGTGAACATTCATAAACGTTTGTGTGCTGTGTATGGAAGCTGTGCAGTCGATAGGAGCACCGTTGGTCGCTGGGCTAAGAGAGTTAAAGCTTCAGGAAGTGAAGAAACCGAGCTCCGTGATCTGCCGCGCTCTGGGCGTCCTGCCACAGCCACCACTCCAGACATGTTGAACCGCGCGGATGCCATTATTCGTGAGGATCGGCGCATCACAACTCGACAATTGGCCCAACAGCTTTCAGTCAGCAATGGAAGTGTGATTGCAATTATCCAGGCTCTCGCATATTCGAAGGTGTGCGCAAGATGGGTTCCACGAAGTCTCACAGCAGACCACAGGATTCAAAGGAAAACGATTTCTTCTGAATTGTTGGAGCGTTTTGATGCTGAGGGAGAGGTCTTTCTGTCCCGGATCATTACAGGTGACGAAACCTGGATACACCACTTTGAGCCAGAGACAAAAAGGCAGTCAATGGAGTGGCATCATCCTCAATCACCGAGAAAGAAGAAATTCAAGTCAACTCCCTCCGCCGGAAAAGTCATGATGACTGTCTTTTGGGACAGTGATGGGGTCATTCTTGTGGATGTGATGCCAAGAGGTGCGACCATCAATTCAGACGCGTACATCAGGACCCTGAAAACCCTCAAGAAGCGTTTTCGACGAGTTCGGCCTCACAAGCATCCAGCAGAAATTTTGCTCCTGCACGACAATGCACGCCCTCACACAAGTCTGAGAACCCGGGAAGAAATCACCAAATTGGGTTGGACGGTGCTACCCCATCCCCCCTACAGTCCAGATCTGGCACCCTCCGACTTCCATCTCTTTGGGCCCCTTAAAGATGCTATCCGCGGAACAAGATTTGAAGATGACGAGAGCGTGATTCAAGCAGTGAGGACATGGCTACGTGCACAGGACAAGAGCTGGTACCGGCAAGGCATGCATGCCCTTGTTCCACGCTGGCGTAAAACCGTACAAGTTGATGGGGACTATGTGGAAAAATAGTATGTGTAAAGGAAACATTGATTTATATTGTCACTAAATTTGAGCCATCTTGAATAAATATGTTCTGAGGAAAAAAATGTGGGGCATTACTTAATGAGCGACCCTCGTATCTTTCATAACCACCTATTAGTCTCCTCATTGTCTTGATAACCCAATTATGAGGTTCTTGCATGGTGCAAGTATTACCTAACTAACTCAATGAAGCACAGTCCTTCTTGAGAAGATTATAGTTGCTCAACTGGTCAAGAAATTAATCTTTTATGAAACCTGAAAGTTCGCTGCTATGGCTTAACAATCCTAGGAAATATCAAGAATGTGGGACACTAAGAAAACCAGGCACTCACCACCAACGCTAGCACCATAAGCTACGCCAACGGCACACAAAGAATTATTGGCAGTGGCTGCAACTTCACCAGCACAACGTGTTCCGTGGCGATTAGAGTCGATTAAGTCATACCTAGGCATCGGGTCATCATCATGGTTGTTAACATCGTAGCTTGCTTGTGGGTCCTGCAACAATTGAATCTACCATGAGCTCTGCAAATAACCAAGCAGCCAGTCTTTCACACACATTATGACTTTGAAGCACGAAATTTGGTGATGGTTACATTCGATATCTATGTTATAGTTTAAAAAACTAAAATATATGAAAGTATGAGACTGAGCAGTGGTAATGCTGCGAAAGGGGGAAAATTCATAATACATAATTTCAACACATAACAATATAAATAAATGAAAAGTAAATTGACATCACGAGAAATTCCACAGGTGATCGACGATGTTTTAACTACTTGTAAGTCTGGCAGATGGCGGCAATCATTTTTCACTGAAAGACAATTTATAAAAAGTAATTTGTTGTAACTATGATACACTTCCTTTGCTCATTATCATTATCAGAACAAAAAATAGTCACCACACAAAATTATTGAACACTCCTTAACAATAACCACGAAACAGTTTGTGATACATAAACCAGTCTAAAACACGTGGTACCGGGAAAGGGTGTTTACTATAAGCCGGCTGTGGGGACTGCAGCCCCGATACGCGCTGTAAAAGTGAACTGCCCGTCGCTCCACCTTGCACCGCGCTCTCTACTTTTGACCGTCTAGCCGCGCTGAAATCCTTTCAGCCGGATGATAGCCCCGTTCTGTTTATCACTCCTCGCCCGTGGACTTACTATCAGTTCAGCCGATTAGTGGATAATGACAACGTAAGGGGCAATATTAAAATAATGATACAGAGGAAATAAAGTGTTACAAATTATATAAACACAAACAATATTTTTTTGAAAAATTATAGAGGGTGCTGCAGCTCTTATGGAACACACCAGAAGGATTTTTTTAAAAATACGACATTCATAAAAACATGAAACTTACCTGTGACTCCCTATGAACTCTGCCAGCCTTGCCTATCTTGTTGCGAGCAGACAAAATCGATTTTTAATATAAATTCTTCCGGAAATCAGCAAATGATGTAAGAGAAGTCCTAATGCTTACTGAAGTAGCTTACATTTTTGAGGACGATAGTTATTAAATTTAAAGTTTCTTCTTGATACGAAAACAGAGAAGTATCAGCGTGTATTGAAGAGTAGGCTGAGCTGGAATTGATCGGAGAGACGTCAACTTATAACTGCACTGCAAAACGCCACTGGGACTTATCTCTCCCTCATTCCCATGGGAAGAGGCAGACAGGAAGAACAGGAACTTGAACCATCAGCAGGGGATTTCAATAACCGTATTGTTTTTGCTGCGCTGTAAATGGAATCGATTTGATAACTGCTTCATCTTTCAGCTTCCACTATACCGGGATACATATTTCTTGTGTTCTGCGGAGACCTCACCAAGCTCGGGGCGTGACTATTACGCGTACCATCCTAAATGAAATTAATTAGACCCGTTTACAGTTGTCGAAGGAAAATAAATGTTATTATTATATATTTTATTAGAAAATCCACGTTTTATACCATATCGTGCGATTTAGAAGAAGGAAACTCTAAAAAGATAAATTTCTGCCGTTCAAGGGCGTTTAAATTGCTCAAAGGAACTGCTCATATAATTTTATAAAAGCCTATGACTATCAGTTCGTTTAATAAAATGCAAGTATTATTCTTAAGCATTTAGTGATATAATACTAAGTCTTGTATTCAACGAAATATGAAGGAAAACAGTTTCCAGCAGCAACCATACACAAACCCACACAGTGACCCAATCCAGAAGACAACAACCCACAGAAGTGATGAGTCCACTTGGCTAACACGGCGTAAATCAGAGGAAGATATTGAAATACATTTTTGCGAAGCAGGGTGTAAAATGGAGTCAGGCGGATCAGGATAAAGTCAAATTATGGAACAGCGTCTTGGTCACAATGAATTTTCCGGTTACACAGCCGCAAGGGCGTTCTTTACTATCTGAGCAGCTAGCGGCTACTGGAGAACAACACCACGCCTTTCACTTACTCCTTTAATGATGATATTCCACTCACGCGTACGAACGTCGTATGGGTTGTAGCGCCGTGCAGTCTAGAAGTTTGCCCGCGTTTCAGAGGTCCTTGCTGCCTCCACCATCAGGGCTAGAATACAAGGCGCTATAACCCAGAAGACAGTCACCTGGTACTCACCGCCGTGAGAACAAATCCTTCTACTCACGTAATTTCTGAACAGGTCAGGGTGGTCCTTCTCGAGCCCGTCGTCTAGGATGGTGACCACGACGCCTACGCCAGTGATGCCTTCCATCCAAGCAGGTTGGACGTTCATGTCCAGGCCCTGCCCTCGGTTCTGGAACAGAACAATTCTGTTAGGGCCAGTTCCACAGAAGACCTTATAGGAATAACGTATGCAGTCTAGTTTCCTTCAAGTATTTTAGTCCAAGTTCCGAGAATATCAAAATGCAACAGTTAACTAATATTTTGATCCATTTCTGCGCAAAATATTCACCAGCATAGGCCACTGATATGTAAAAAAAAAAATTTCGGGTACCTCGAAACATCCGTAGCGTCGCCACTATGTCTGTCATACACATGCACATAAATTATTATAAGCTTAGCTGCAATACGTCATTATCACAAACCAATTGAACAAATTAATATATACCTTGTATGAAGTTTGACTTTCAAGCAGTATAATGAAAGGCATTGACAAAGCTCTAAAAGTTGTGATAGTAAAAACATAAATGTGTTGGAAAGTATCCCAAAAGAACTTGGCTCATGTCAGCGTTTAGTCGTACATAAGCGAAGCAGATCTGATTCCCTTAAACAATATCAAAAGACTGACCTTTGTAAAGGAGACGCGCTGTTTTCTTTGGGGCGCTAACCGACATGTTATATATTGTTTACACAAACTCAGGGCTTCAACACGAGCATCATTTGTTGTATAAATTTTATAAACGCGTTACTGAATAATAATTTTCAAGCCGAGGAACTTAACAGCATCCGACTAGCACGTGGAATGTTCCCAGTTCGAAACAAAACCAGGTACAATCTATTTTGCTTCTAGCGGTTTTCCTCAGTCCCTAGATGAGAGAGCCGGAAGTATGTGAAATTAAGCCACTTCGCTCGCTCCCACATCCGTTACAGCTCATTATCATCAACCAACCTACGATATCTAATTTACCTACAATACATATATAAGTATAAAATGAATTCAACGAATGGTGGAAACTAACAGCATCCACGAGTTTCTAGTTCAGGGTGGATTTTAAGCGAGCTGCAGGTGAAAATTCTGCATCTCTGCATGTAATGTCATTCAGACATAATACTTTAAATTGACAACATATGGAATAGTATCGACATTTTATTCTATACAATTAAACATTAACAATATGACACTAAGGCACGGGCATGGGATACCAGAGACAAAAGAATAGAAGAGGCAGAGAGGAGAACTTCCCTCGGTTAGACAAAGACTGAAGACACAACATACTGAAGCCCATTTCAAACAGCGTAGTAAGATAAAAATAATGGGAGCAGAAGAAGACGGGGTTTCAGACGAGCGGAACGGAAGCCGATGTTCTGCTTCTCCCTGAGAGACGTGGAATTGATAGACTGCCACCATCCATCACGGACTGTCCACAAACAACTACCACCACCATTTTTCTTCGAAACCAATTTCTTACATATTTAACGCTTTCATTTAACTCTTCGCCGTGCCATTTGAATTAAATATCCCGAAGCACTTCCTTTCTTCATTTGCTTCTTAATTTTGTCCTTTTCTGAACGCATTTCTTACATTAAATTACACTACGATAAACATTGCGCGCGAAACTTAATTTTTCCAAGTTTTGGTGACGGACAATTTCATACAATTTACCCCAGCATATACTATATAGTTCAATTCTAAAGGGTTTTGAAGACGGTAGTTTACACTTAAAATTATTCATTGTCAGGACTTTATCCATCGTCTGTTCTTTAAAACCACGACGTTTCGGAGGCTGGTTCTGTCTCCGTCTTCAGGTGAGAGGTACCTACTCTGTTGGGTCCCTTAGATAGATCTAGTCTCTGTCACTGGACAATATAAATCGTGCAATTGCAGCGTTTTTCGGTCATAAAAATACATAGTATTCTGTATTTACCTTTGAATTTTTATCAGTCATTCCTAGTAACTTAATAAAGGATAATCATTTAAAGGATTCGTTATTTTCCGCGTGAAATATTTTTAATATAATAAAAATACTACATATATTTACGATACGTTCTTACGTCTAAAACGTTTCTGACACCCTATAGAACTGTCACGCTTACATATGCATAGAACAGGCGCACGCCTACTCAGACCCAAACTTTTTACATTTATTGATAAAGTACATTTGTAGTAACTAACCGCATCCCATTTACAAACGGTTTAAATAACCTGTACACTGATATATGATAGCCATTAAAGTTAATTTACATTTACCACGGAACGCATCAAACACTCAAATGGCATCACGATATACGGCTTAGTAACAAAACAGCGTGTAGTGACAGTAATTAAATTTTAACCTAACGGAATAAAATTAAAACAAGGTTTGAATTCTGTGTAGTGAAATCAATTTAAAACGAAGGCAAAAACGACAACTGATTGGAAGGACAACCACGTGACCTACCACTTGAAACGAGGCGACACTATGGTTTCACTGCTTGCGTTATTTTACGGCTGATCAAATGGTTTTAATAGCTGCCGTTGTATTAACATAATAACACGACTAAATAAATATTTGAATCAATCCTTTCCATGTTACCAATGAATAAGCAGTCTACAAATAGCTGTATATCTTTAACGTTTAGTTTGAAAAAAGAAACCTCTCCTGTTACGTAAAAAGTAAAGTAAAGTTTGTCCCACTATACGCCATGTAGGCGTTTGGGGTGAGTGGAGGTATAGCTCCTCTCTTCCTTGACCTCGGCACTAGATGGGGGTGAGTGGTCGGCATCACGCCCCGGCTGGCTTTACCCCCGGGAAAGGACCCCGGTACCCATTGCAGAGGAGGCTGGGTGGGCCCCAGAGCCGGTCTGGACGCAGAGGCTAGAGGAAAAATCCTCTGCCCCCGTCGGGGATCGAACCCCAGTTCTCCTGTTACGTATTTCTGTTTAATCTGTTAGGGCATTATTATTTGCTATTAAAATGTGCAGAGTAAGACACTTTAGCTTAAAATAAAACTCAGAGTAGTAATGTAAAGAAGAAAAACACATTGAACTTCTTTGGTGAAATGTTTTCCACTCTTTACTAATCGCCCTGGTGATGGAGACAGTAAGCACATCTGAAACGTCAGTAAAATTCTACTGGAGTACACGGCGAAACATCCCACAAGACAACCACCTACATTTTGCCGGGCGAATTTAATTTCAGTCCATGCCGATAAAATAAAACCTGCTGGTCACAGAATTCAACTTTTGTATATTTTCTTCAGAAACTCCATCTTATAAATGCAGGCTTGCTAAGATGCGCAATTCTTATTTCGCATGTTGTTTTTCCGATATGCAGAATATATAACGAAATATAAGGAAAACAAATCCGATATGTTTCAACTCCTGTAGGGACATCTTCAGGTGCACGTCTTTAATTGCTCCTTAGAGTAAATCACTCCACACTGTACAGTATAATTATGATTTTTAATAAGTTTAGAAAATGTATTCAGTAAATTCACATTGCGAGACACGGTTTTCTTCTACGCTCATTTTTAAATTTCTATCCCATCTCGGTCCGCACATTCAGCGTTGAAATGTTAGTTAAGATATAGCAGCAATTTGCACAGGGCACAGGTCACAGGTCAATGTCTGTAGACACATCAAAATAGAACGTTAATACTACTCGCACTGTACCCATGTCAGAGAAGTTGCCGCTCGTCACGGCGTTTCTAGTGTCTTGGAAGGGTGTTATATTAAATACCGCTACTGATGCTCCCAACTGTGAAGCATACACTGCCGCCTTGTTTGTAATATTGCACACGACTAGAAAGGCGTACTCTTTGGAGTACAATGATATTCGACAGGCGTTCTTCACGCAACAACACGTAGGTCCCTTTTTTGCAACGAAATTGCCCAAGGCCATCATTACGTAACGTTTCCCAACAATGGCCTTAGGTCATCCTTGCACTAATGTTGCAACCACGATGGTAGAAGCACAGGGATGTCCACGCATGACGGCCAAGTCAGACCGGTCGGGGCATTATCTGCGGTTTTACCCAGAGGGTAACCAAGCCCCTCAGGGACAGTCCCAGTGTTCCTGAGGACTGGAGGATCGAATCTGGGTTGGTGGAACAAAGGGTCTCCAACACGGCGAAGGCAAGGCCGTAGAATAATGTCAACAGGAATAAGAATAAACACGCTACACAAATAGACCGATATCGACGACCGGTGGTCGTCGCTTACATTAGGGCGTAAAGAACGCCTAACGAAGGGTCAGTAACCAAAGCCTCTAGTGCCATCTCTTCAAAAGACTGCAATTCGCAAAGTACAGTGTTATTCTTAGGGAAGCCAATGCTTTCCAGTGCTTTTTAATGAACGTTTACGCGATACTTCGTTTTCACGACTACAGCAAATGCAGCAGCAGCCGCCACAGAGCCCTTCCCACGACGTGGACGCTCTGTCTCCCGTTTTACGGCTGAAACGAGAGAACAACAAAACTGACATCTCAGCTTCAACTTAACGTGATCTGGATGTCCTCCGATCATACGTTGAATTAACGTTTTATGAAACCGTTCGTGCTACCAATAGCATTCCTAACGTAAGGGGCAATATTATAAAACCCGCTCTTCTCACATTAAAGGAAGAACACAGGCAAAGAGTGCAGCGAGCAATGCTCAGAGCAAGTAACATGCTGGACAATGTCTTGTTGCCACCTTAAAATCTACAGAACAGAATAAAAAACCAATATACTACGGCCTAAGTACGTGAAGGTAAAAGAGCTTGAATATTTGAGTCAAGACCTCTAAGCGGGGGGGATAGACTTCTAAACCTACAAATATGTCTTGAAGTACACAATCCTTGAGCAGAAGGAAGCGCCCCCTCTCCCCACCTTCAATGAGTTACCAACCAACGGTCTGTTTTGCTTCCCTGAAAACCAACCCTAAGATGTTATGAGATCTGAGGTACTCGTGACCGTGAGGTTTTCGATGTTGGCCTTCTAGGTTGTGACACCGTGTAGACTTGTAGGTGGACACCAACGTCTCAAAAGAACATAATTACACATGCCTCCGAAACGCCCGGTATCTACTTACACGGCCAACCCACAAGACCAACATCGGTACTCCTACACTTTCTAGCATGAGATATCCAACGTTTCTTTGCACCCACGTCATGGTG